TTGAAATGATTTAGGGAGTTTTGTGGGACTTCTCTGGAATTTTGTGTGTTTTTTCTGGAATTGTGTGGGATTCTGAGGAGACTTGAAGAATTTTGAGGAATTTGTTTTAGATTTTGTGGCAATTTGTGGAGAATCTGTGGGATTTTACTGGAATTTGGTGGGCCTTTTCAAGGACTTTGTGTGGTTTTGAGGAGACTTGAAGAATTTTGAGGAATTTTTCTTAGATTTTGTGGGAATTTGTGGAGGTTTTGTGTGATTTTTGTGTGATTTTGTGGGATATTGAGGCGATTTAGGGATCTTGAGGGATTTTTCATGTATTCTGTGGGAATTTGTGGAGATTCTGTGGGATTTTTGTGGATTTTGGCCGTGTTTTGAGTCCCCTCAAAACCACACAAATACTTGAAAAGGTCCACCAAATTCCAGAAAAATCCCACAGAATCTCCACAAATTCCCACAAAATCTAAGAAAAATTCCTCAAAAGTCTTCAAGTCTCCTCAGAATCCCACACAATTCCAGAAAAAACACACAAAATTCCAGAGAAGTCCCACAAAACTCCCTAAATCATTTCAAAACCCTACCAATTCACAGGAATGTCCCACAAAATCTCCACCAATTCCCAGAACATCCCACAAAAATCTCACAAAAATCTCTAACACTTCTGAAAACTCGACCAAATTCCAGAAACGCCCCATAAAATCAGCACAGTTTCCCACAAAATTCAAGAAAAAACACCACACAATTCCCTAAATCTTTTCAAAATACCACAAAATTCCTGAAAAGCCCCACCAAATTCCAGAAACATCCCACAAAATGTCCTCAATACCCAATGTTTTCTGCTGCACTGTTTGTCATAAACAAAATGAAGATTTAAAAAAAGCCCCACAACCTTAATAGCCTTTTGCAGAAATGAGGCAGACCCAGCAATCTTGAAGCAGTCATTGCTTCAGTCTTTCTATAACTCTGAAGACAACTAAATGAACACAGAAATCAGAGCTCTCACACACCCTACAGCCAACAGCTCCCAAAATTATTAAAACCCTTATTGATTCAGTTTATTGCAGATGCTGTCCTGAAGCAGAAAAGGTGATTCTGCACTTCCTTAGTCCTTTTCCCTTGGACTGAGGTTTGGTTTGGCCTTGTGTGGTCCTGCTGAAGAGCAACAGAGAGCAGTGACAAGGCTTCCTTCACCCTGGGATTATAAAATCTTGTTGTTTGGGCAGAGACAAATCTCTCCCTGGCTACAGCCTCCTGACAGCTACAGGGGCCAGGACCAGGTGTCCCCTGAGTCTCACTGAGTACTTGGTTTATGCAAAACATTGGGGCTCATTCCATTTGCTGAGAAGAAGAGCCAAAGATGACACACCTTGGGCACCGTCCCCTCCTCACCCCAAAGTGCCCCCCAGGACGGCCTGTGGCTCATCAAGTAACATTTCTGCAATCAGGCATCGCCAAAAGTGTTTCTAACAACACATTCCATCACTTCTTGTCACTTTTTATTCAGTGCAAGCATGGAAATGTCTGAGATAGACAATGGAAAGCAATACATAAAATCCAAGACAAGCGATCATAAATGGCCCTGCTGGGAAAGCAGATCCCACGGAATTGGATGGAGGTGGAAGGTCACTCCTAACACATTAAATACAACAGCCAAAGCAGATCCTGATGTCACCCTGATACTGAGATGGAAAAGTCACCTGCTTAAAATCATTGAAAAGGAAAAGAAGGAGCAGGAGGACAGGTGGGTAGGTGTGTTGGTAACTCTGTTAAACACAGTTTAAAAAACCCCAAAACGCAGTAGTTATTAACCAGATATTTGAGGAGGCACAGCCACAGCTCTCTGCAGAACATTTACAAAGTGCTTGACAAATGGAAAGCTGGATCTTTTTCAGCAAGTGCCGTGGGTGCTGTGCACCCAGACCTGGAGCACCAGGGCCATCCATCTGCCTCAGGAGTCCTGCTTTCATCCTTGGAGTGTGCATCCTTCCATCCTCCAGTGTGCACCGGCACTTCAGATTGAGGTAAGGACAGCACTGAATAGGGGAAAAAGAGCAGGAGCTATTCCCTCCATTGAATATTGATTGGCACCACCACGTGACACATTCACTTGAAGACGAGCACAAAGGGATTACAACACAATTGTCCCTGTACAGAACAGAAACCAAGCTTCTCCTGCTGCTCTGGCGCTTCTCCTGCTGCTCTGGCCGGTCCCTAAACACAAGAAGGAGCTGTAGGTTTTCTCCATCGCTGCTGGTGCAGCTGAAGCCTTAAGTTCCTTAAGCCTTTCCTGTTTCCCTGAGTTGTCTCTCATTTCCATCACCTCAAAATGGGCATCTGTGGCACGGGGAGAGATGGAAATGCAAGCCCTGGGCTGAAGGCCGTGCCCGAGGTGTGCCCAGCTCCCTGCACACCTTTTCCCCCCAGGTGCAGACCGGCTCCAGACGCTGCACATGGAAGGCAAGGAGAGCTGGGAGCCGAGAGAGGAGCGGTTTCTCCTGGAACACCGGGAGCCCTTCCATGGCAGCAGCTCATTCCCAGCCCCTGCCCCACTCTCTGCTCCCAAAGGTCACCGGGAACTCGCCCAAGGCCCGGGGGGCTCGGCAGGGCTTTCCCACCTGGGCCGAGTGCCACAGGAGGGGCCCCTGCAGGATTTCTGTCTCGGTCGGGTTCCAGCAGCTCAGACTGGCTCCTGCATCCAGCAGGGATTGGGTGGGGATTTGGTTGGGGCTTTTTGTTTGCTGGTTTGGCTTTTAGTTATTTAGAGAGTGCTTTGAGGGTCAGTTTTGCTGCTTCATCAGCTTTACCCCCTGCCCAGCTGCCTGTTGTGTGCATGGAAGGGTTCAATCTGCATTTCGCTTCTTCTGCACCCCTACTTTATTATTTTAGGCTCTTTATTTTCATTTTTCTCTTTTCCTTTTGACTGTTTTTTCCCCCTTTCATTCCCCCTTTTTTAATATTTATTTTCTGCCGTGGGTTTTTTTCCCCCCCCCTCTTCTCTCACGTGACCTCGGTGCTTTCCTGTCTTTTTGTAAATTTTTCTTTTTTCTTTTTTTTTTTTTTTTTTTTTTTTTTTTAATCTTCTCCTGATCAGAAGCCCCTGGGGCAGCTGCACAGCCGGGGCCACTCCTGGCTGTCAGAGAAGCCGGGAGCTGACTGCTCTACGGGATTTGTTTGCTCCCAGGTCTGCGGCTCGGGGCTCTCTCTCATCGTGTTTTATCAAATAAAGTTCGTGTGGCATTCCTGGCTTTGACGATGGTGTTTTATTGGGATGTGCCAAGCCCGGATTCCCCGGGAAGCAGCAGGACGGGTTTCCCTGTGCCTAAGGACAGCCCCGGAGCCGCGCAGTGCAGAGAGAAGCCGATCCTAAGCCACTGCTGATGATCATAACCGAGTTGAAATTAGAAGAAATGAGAAGTCCCAGCTGAAACCGATACAGAAGCAAGTTTTGATTGGTTTTCAGAGCCTCCTGCTTCATACGCTTTGCCTCAGGAGCCAGGGAAATGGCTCCGATTCCCCTCCCGATGCTGCTGCTGGTGCGGAGCTGCCGGCCGGGCTTCAGGGCTGCTGCGGCTCCCAGAGACAGCCGGCGCTGCCTTCGGGGGCTCGGAGCTGAGCCCCGCTCCTGCAGCTGTGGCTCACACAGACCCTTGGCTGTGTTTGGGGAGCTCAGAACCAGACTCACCCCATCACTTTGGGGCTTCACAGAAGGCGGCGAGTGCCGCGTTTGAGGGGCTCAAAATTCAGGCTCAGAGCTTAAAAGCAGAGACCGAATCCTGCGTTTTGGACTCTGACAGCAGCGGGCTCACGTCCGGCCTGGATTTGGGCTTCAGGCACAGAGACTGAGCCCTGGTTTCGGGGTTTCGGTCCGAGCGAGCGAGTCCAGGCTCCAGAGCCCGAGTGCCGCCGATTGACTCTCAAAGCCAGGCTGCGCTGGCCAAGTGCAGACAGCGATGAACCGAGCTGAGATTTGGGGACGTGAAAGCCCGGTCCCTCAGAGCGAGCATCCGGGCTCACAGAGAGCAAGTTGTGCATTTTAGGGGCTCGAGGCAGAGACCGAGTCCCGCCTTCTGGGGATTTGGCTTCACAGAGCTTCGCGTTCGGGGGGCTTGAAGTAAATCCCAGCCGCGGTGCTTCGGTGTTCAGAGCGGGCTCGTTCGGGCAGCGTCAGTCGCAGCCTCTCAGCTCTAAGGGCCGCCTTTGGCCCCGCGGAGAGCTCAGAGCCGGCGACTCGGAGCTGCCTCTGGGGCCGGCGGCGGAGCCGCGTTTGGGGCTCGGAGCGGAGCCCGAACCCCGCGTTGGGGGCCACGGGCAGAGCCCGGCCCGGCGCGTCGGGCTCCGCTCG